CCCTAATACTCTGTTGTAATTTGTCTCCTAAAAAGCTTTATAAAGTTTAATGTAAAAACATCAAATATAAAGGAATTGGTGTTTAGAGAATAATTCTAATTTAAATCTTTAGTTTTATATAGTTCTGTGATAAAATGTGGCTAATGTCGTGTTGAAAACTTTTAATTTGAAAACATAAATTTAAAAAAAGTGGGTGGTGAAGCTGAAACGTGAACTCTCAGCACGGCCACTTTTCACTAACATTTTTTCTACATGAAGAACAAAAAGCTAATTAGGCAGTAAATCTTGTGGCGTTTGCCTGAAGTCCGCCTCTCTGCTTCTGGACGTCTGGACTGACGACTCCACGCTCACTTGAGCCCACTGAGGCGGTAAATCTTTAAAAAGACCCGACAGAAACCAGCTCCACTGTTTACTAAAACAGGACGTAGAAATGATGTGAACGCAAACAAATTAGGAGATTAAGATCAGATTAAAAATGCCTGCAGCAGTTCCTGACACATGAACTGTTGGGACACTGTTTACGGTTGAGACTGGCTAAAAAGGCAGATTAATTTAAGTTTATTTTGTTTTTTAGAGCCTCCACACTAACAAGCATGGCTTGTTTTCCTCTGCTTTGAGAATTAGAAAAACACAAAAACAGCATTTGGCATTCTGKGTTTTTGGACCAAACCGTAACTATAAGTGACTTCTCCGTAAACCTGACAGAAGCTGACTTTAATTTTTATTGCCTGAAAAAGCCTCAACATGTTACGTTTAGTGTTTACCTCCAGCTCAGCTCACGTCATGTTTAAATGCTAACAGATGGTTTTCTGTACATCCTCGGCTCCTCTGAGCCCCCGAAGCACCGCCTGAATTCTGGGTTTCCGTTCAAATTTAAAAACTTAAGATTAATTGCTTTTATCTGGGTGAAAAGCCTCTGCGAGCCCGTCCAGAMTGGCTCATCCTGAGAGTGAAACATGCAGTCCACAGACAGCGATGGCAGGAATTTAACACGGCTTCACGGGTGCATTTCACTCTGGGGAAAATGCGTCATTTTTGGCGCGAGCCGTCCTGCAGAAGCTTGTTAACAGGCGGTCATTAATTACGTCGGTCTCCACTCCTCCAAGTGATCATTTGCTTATGTTTCTCCAGAGATTTGTCACTTAATCATAAGAGAAGATGGCAGAGAACACTGAAGCAAGAAGCCTCCAAATATCAACTAAAACATCTTAAAAGTTGCTGCTAAGATCATATTTTATCATAAGAACATTGGATCAGTTAATTACTTTAAAGGGATCCATGATTAGTTGTAACATTAAACTTTATTTGATAAAAATATATTTTAACTGTAAAATAAAGACTGTAAAAATACTGTAGG